ATATATATATATATATATGACAGACAATACACAGTGAGACAGTCTTAAAAACCAACGATTTAATCAGTCGATCACAGGTGATGACCCGTTTCTGCGTTTCTCTTTTGATACAAGGCATTCACAAGCGCTATGAAAGGACGAATTGAATTTTCAGTAATAATACAATTCTCGGTAGTAATACAACTGTGACTCAGCGACGAGAACTTAAGATGGAGAACAATTCGAGTCAAGCAAAAAGTAATCTTCCGGCACGCGTTAATTCATAGAAAGTTATCACTACAATTTTAAAGTTATTTGGAGATGAAATTGGCACAGAAACCACAGTAGTGCATATAAAAGACCCACCTATGCAAAATTCTGATATGAATACAATCATCGACTTCTAGTAGATCACATAGAAATATACCGAGGGGTGATCGAAGAAATCGCATACAAAACTGAGTGGTACAACGGCACTCAACAACAACAATGGCGTAAATCATTGACTGGTTTGTCCCTGAAGTCCGAGGGGTAAATAGGGGAGCAGTGACCAAGCCGGATGATGTCAACAAATAACCAATGGCCAAGTTGAGGTAATCTGCTATGGAGAAAAGATACAACACGAGTTTTCAAAAAGAAAAAGCGTAAAAACGCTCATAAAATGACTGTTTTATACAAATTGTTATAATCTTCATGCTTACAATTTTGCGTTTAAATAGGCAACGCTTAATAATATTAAATACAGGAAAGCGAACCTAGTAATATAATGAAATACAAATAAGAATGAAACTAGTAGTGAAGTACAATAAAAAGAAATAATGAAATACAATAACATCAATTCTGCTGAATAGTGGATGAATCAATGCCGACAAGTGGACTCCAAATACGAATTGTACAATCATCAGAACAGGAAACCAATTGCGGTAACCTAGGATTCCACGCCACGGCATTGACACGTGCAGTATGTCCAGCCAGTTTTGCTATTAATTCTTCGCAGCTCTGCTTCCATACATATATACATTCATCTGCAAACATAATAACAGGTTTTTTAGTTCAAAAAAGAAGCTAAAATTATTAGATACAAATCAAATACCCCATCGCTTTTCTGGTAAAACTTCAGTTCTTAAAAAGGCAAAATATCTGGATAGCGGTCTTTTTTCTCATTGAAGGAAAATCCGCTAATTATTACATCTTTGGTAAAGTGAAACCAGGTAACTGCTGATGACTATGAGTAGAACTTTCTGAATTTGCCACTGTGTTAACTATAAGCTGCATAAAAGTCAACCCTACAGCTGTCAAGGGAAATCACACGCGGCGAATAATGTCTTTCCAGAATACCTAAACTGAACTATTCGTATATCCATGCATAGTCCATCATATTTCACTCGCAAAACAGTGTGTTGGTATGTCAGTTTTTAGGAAGATTATTACAGAAGGAAATTAACAAAGATATACCTGTGGAACCGGTAGCGACATACGACTGCTCGGAGCCACCAAAAGTCGAATGAATAATAAAATCTTGATGCGGTGCACCAATGAAAGACCTGATCAAAGTTCGTGTTCTTAAGTCCCATAATCTCAAACCGTGCAGTTTAGTATCAATCAAAACACGTCGCTCCGACTTATCCACCACAAATGTTGAAATCTGACTTAGTTCTTCAATGAGCGTTATTTCAGAATCGTCGCTAAATCGATAACTGCGAACTCTAAAAACTGGAGGATGTGTGGGGTGAAATTCTCTTAAAATTCTATAATAAATTACGGAAGACAGTTAAATCATGCAAAAGTTTTGTGAGAATTTAACTATTGAAACACCTGTTGTGAGTATCTGCTGCTAAAACCGATCCATTCCTGAGACAGTGAACAGCGCGAATCCTATAACCTTCGAATTTTCCTTCAGATTTCACACTGTTTTTTGATAAAGTCTGAAAATGAAGTAATCACAATTTCTAGATCATTTTCTCCAATTGTTAGAATAGGACGGATCACATTTGCAACATATAAAACAATGGTGGAAAAAAAATAAATAGCAACCTTTCTTTGGTCAAAACATTGATTTGTGATTCAAACCTTGAAATCATTGGGATCGAAATATGCTGAAAATCATACCCCACGCATTCCTGAGTAACAGTAACGACATTATAAACAAACTGTAAAAAAACATACATATTGACAAAAATGTCCCATCTGATCAGCGCAAACAAGTTTATAACTGAATGATGAGTTGGGAACAAACGACATAACAGTGCTATCGTTCGCTCTGTTTTCGATAACACAAAATATGATGCCACTATGTACATCGTAAACGTGAACATCCGCTAGGTGGCCCTCCGCAGCGCTTACTGCTAGAAGTGCACCATCGTCACTCCAAGTTAACAACGATGAACTGTTTCGTCCTGAAGTTGTAAAAATTAACTATTTGAAACAGTGAGCGTATGGAGAAAGAAAACTGAATAAACCATATATGATAATAAACTGGCAATTTTTTTGTTTTTATCTTCGACCAGAAACAGTAGTTCGCAATTTTTAATATGTCCAAAGTTTTGTTAAATAATATATTATCCATAAGGCTAGATAACTTCGTGAAGGTAAACGGAAATACCGTTATATACTGTAATTTATGAATACGACATGTATAAAAAATACTCCAAAAATCGCAGCAAAATACCAGTAAGTTCTTTGTACGGCTCAACGGTAGCTTCATTAATTATTTTCCATATATGAGCTGCTCCGGACCTACTACCCGTTGCTAAGTATTTTCCACAATGAGAAAACGCCGCACACCAAACCTCATCTGTATGTTTCGTTAACACCTGAAAATGCATAATTTTCTGACCACGAAGAAAAGAATCATATGGATGAGGTAATTTCTTCATTATAATTACATGATGTTGAAGGTAGATTGAAAAATACTACAGAGTTATTGATGAAGAGATATATTCAAGTATATGCCCCAGAGAAGGGAGCTAATTTTATGACCAGTAATGGATAGATTTATGTGACCCACTCTTAAAGAAAAATAGATCCGCTGCAAGAGAAAAGATAGTACCTGCGAAGTAAACATAGGGAAATGATCCCAGTCACACTGATGGTCTTCCAAAATATAATCCGGAGAAACATCGAAATCTTCCCTAACATGGAGATAGCATTCGCGACACTGCATCTTCCAGGCTGTAACATTTGACAAACATTTGATTAGGTATATAGCCACCCCTAATATATTTGAAAAACCAAATCACACTGAGCTGATTGAAATAGAATATGATAGAATAAAGAATAACAACATAGTAAAAAACATACGGATACTCAATTTCAGATGTGGATTAGGAAAAAAAAGAAAAAGTGGGTATATAACTAACATTGCATGAGCAGTTTTTTCAGCCTATTGCAAGGTAGCATGACTGCCGTGGGCAATAACTGTTGAATCTCAGCTACCAGTACATTTCTTTCTCGTTCAGTACGATGAGCTCCCGTTTTCGCACATACATCTACACTCTAAATCATTACCAACCAATAACTAATTGCAATAGGTGTTTAATGGAAGAGGCAAGCTCCCAATCCTATATTCCACCGACCCTTGAAAAATTACATTCGAGTAATTTGGAAAGATAGAGTTTTTGAACACTGATCAACTAAAAAGTGTATTCAATAAGCATTGAAGAGAAATAAGAGAGGAATTATTTCAAAACGAAATAGTTCATAGTAGTAAGGTGTTAGCAAAGTGTAACACTGCCGCAAAGCAATGAAGTATTTGAAAAATTAAAAAAGTGTAATCTACCTTTGGGTCAACATACAGTAGTGTTGCAAGAAAATTCCGACGATCAAAGAATGCAGGATCTGATGGAAAATCTACTGTCAACAAACTGAGTGCTTCCAAAACCTGAAAATTACTTCATTGAGCAAATTAAGTAAAACCCTGAGTTATTCGGAAGTTAAGGTACTAAAGACATCCGTCCTCGATATGTTATATGTATATATCTTTAGTGCTTTAACTCATCACTTTACAATATCACGTAATTCTTCAATATTTACTTTGTTAACAAGTGATCAAATACAAATTCTTAGAGTGCATATAAAATATTACCCTTTCTTTCCCCAACAAATCAACAAATTTTTCTTCATACAATTTCTCACGGATGCGTAATAAATTCAGATTGGCAACAAACGGCGACATTTTATCCACGATACCAAGTGCATGATCCCATTCACCTGCTATTATATATTCGCGTAAACGTACTGCTAAGGTATCTTCAAGGCGGCATCCACTTTCCGCAAAGAGTGTTGCTACAGTTTCCCTGAAAATACAGATAAAAATCCAGTACTAAAATAGGGTTCAAGAAAACCTAGAGTGAAGTGATGGTAGCATTAATATGTTTATACGTACATTCGTTATGCTATTTTCAACAGAAACCGTCAGGCACCAGCCGAAATTATCTTTGAATAATGAATAACTATTTAAATCTTGTCCAGCCTCTGAAAATCTGATCACATGATTGAAGTGTTCGATAACATACTGTAAACCAAGATTTTTGAGATACTGGCCGATGATGCGAATTGTATTGACTTCTGCGGCACCAAGCGGAGGAGGTGACATCGGGGCCGAAATCAGACTCGTATCAGCGACATTTGAAGATCGACATAACTGACTCTTCGATGTTTGCAAAGTTTCCTTAAAAACATAAACGTTACAAGATGAGAATCGGATGACAAACGATGGTTAAAAGTGAGAAACTCTCAGCATCCTTCCCAAGGTTAGGGACTACGTATTTTCCAGCATAATGATGCATAAAAGTTTCGTTTCCAATGAGTTATTTTATATTTTATATATTATTTTATTAGGAAAATTTATTTTGTTAGAGAATTTTTGTTTCGAATCAATCTTTACCAAATATGACAAAAAATGAAAAAATATACTTTTATTCGTTGACCAACAGATTTTGGAGGTGATTGTTGCTGTGTCTGAACTCCTGATAACTGCATGCTCCTGAAACGAATCCGATTCACGTCCCATTGGATGTCGCACTTTCCTAAATCCTTCCCTCCCCACCATCTCTTCTCGATTGAAAATTGAGGTCTATGGGGTCTCAGTGATAAAACACGAATTGTCGAAATCGGTAGAACAACCTGACTCGGATAACTAATAAGATTAATAAGCAAGTTCGGAAAAAATATTTTGCCTGGGTTTCTTCGCAGGTGGACCTTGGTCTGCGGCGTCAGCCAGCGAGTATTCCACACCACGCTCCACAGTGCTCGTAGATGAGGTCGAAGGCCTCAATTCTGCACTCTGAAATGAATTCCTCATTACTTAGCACACCGACCAAAGAACATCAATCATTACACACAAATCGAAATGGACTGCCTAAACTACTGCAGATGCATACACTTGTGCACAAAAAATTCGAAGTGATTGACAAAACCATCCACGACTAGCTAGACATATCAATATACACATCAGACAAGATTTCCCGTGCACAATTGTCCTGTGTCTTATTTATTTTGATATTAAAGTTAATGGTATTTATCAGACTGTTGAAGTCAGCCACTAATCAATAATACATATATGAACAATAATTACCATTGCAGATCGAACTAGGTTACCGTGGAGTTATACGAAGGTTCAGTAGATGGCCTGGATTAGCTGCATACAACGAATTACAAGATACAAGGGCGAGCAAATGATAAATTACCTAAAGTACAGCAGTCTACTCAGTTACATACATAGGTTACTTAAAATATCCACCAGATTCCATTTAGTGATCCGTGCTTTCCGTATAATATGACTGTAACTCACATTTGTATACCGCCATGCTATTATCCAGGTATAAGTCGCCAGAGCAATATAACGATTTTATCGACTGCCTTATTTTTGATTCGATAAAGCTATGACTATAGGGAAAGTAAATACAGGGAGCAATACACCAAAGGGAAAAATGCCAGGATATCCACTGTCATATGCCTCGTGCTGATGACGTGGAATACGGTTCAATATCGAACTTCGGAAGACACAATGTATAAGCATTCATTTCCACCACTGTTCGATGGTTAGGTTCCCAAGAGTACAGTTAGTAAGATTAAGAACAACTATATCCAGCCATCCGCAATCTCTTCCTTGACTGACTTCTCATTTTATCGGAAGAAAAAATGGATCTCAGATAGAGAAGTGATGAAGTTTCCTTGGAGTCGGAAGGGAGTGAAGGACGCAAAGGACAACTGGACAAATCTCGCACAGCCGGTCAACTTCTGTAACCGTTTCCCCGAAAGACATAGAAAGAGAAGTTTTAATCATCCAGCACCAAAACCTATAAATTGTATGGCAAAGAACAAATGTTAGGATGATTCACGATGAAGAGCAGCCTTTTTTCATAAACACATGTGAAATGATTCCGGAACAACAAAGCTGTATTTAACAAAATTGATTTCTAAAATATGAAGTTATACAACTTGAATGAACCCCTACAACCACCCTTCCTTCTTCCTTTCTCTTAACCTGATCCCAAAAGTTTTCGAGCTTTCCAGAACCATCATAACCAAACTTATCAGGCTTCTCTAAATTATAGCTCCAGCAAACTTTGGCTGCTACAATTATAATATCACTACCACTGCCATTTATCATTGGTACCACTAAAATTAAGCTCATGGAACAAATCCAACAGACAAGAATATGTCGGTTGATAGTTAATCCTTACGGGATTTGAGAGTTGAGTTATCAATCAAATGGTACAAAATTCCCAATAAATAAGACAATACCTCATACCTCATAATGGGTAGTAATTTATCTGCTTTCACGTGAGTATAACTTGCACATAGCTAACGATAGCGTCCCAATTCAGTTGTACTTGTCATTTATACACTTAACCTACTTAGCTACATCTACCCTTCTTCCTTATCTCTCCTTAAACACTACACAGTTTCGAGTAGTCTCCTTATAACGTCAACTTTTACCGATTCAAGCACTAACCAAATTGTAAACACTGCGTAGAGCGTAGTGACGCGTTCTAGAGAACGCGTCAAATACTCGCTCCCCTTACCCTCTCTACCTATCCCTTATTGTCCTATCAGTGTGTGTGTGTGTGTGTGTATGTGTGAGTGTGTGTATGTGTATGTGTATGTGTATGTGTGTGTGTGTGTGTGTGTATGTATGTATGTATTTGTGCCTATGTTTATTGATGCACGTGTGCGTCTGTGTCTCTATGGATAATATATGCATGCATTTGTAGATGAAAAAGGTAGGAGAAGGAGAGGAGAAGAAGGGAGAAGACATTACGTGTTGCGTTCGAAAGGCATAAGGGAGCTGTCGACGGTGCGGACGGTGTTTCGATATGCTGATGTCGAACGAGTCGAGAGCGTTATCCTGAGTTCGTTTGTTGTTGCTCTGGTATTTCGCTACTTGTGTATCATTGCTTTGCGGTAGTGTGACAGGTGTAGAACACGATGGTGACGTGCGGAGTTCTGTTACCGTACATGCTGATGACAGATACGGTATTGGTTGGTAGGATGGCGTAACGGCGGGGGTGGCGGAACTGGAGTTACTTCCGGTCAGTGGACCATCATTTTCTACAATCATTGTATGCTCTTGCATGGACTGTTCTAGTAGTGACGGTGGATTCGAGCACTGGTCTGTTGTCTCATCATTAGGAATATGAATTAATTGGTGACTTCCCGACATTTGTCCTGAAATACAGTGTTTATTAGCCATTACAGCGGTTCACGGATGGCATGTATTAGCAGCTCGAGTGCGTACTGTTGTATCCAGACACTATATCGTTTTTATCGAGACGAAATGAAGTTCGGATATACAAGTGCGGCAAATATCTCTCATGCATTACTTATTTTTATGTCTAATTGATATGACTATCATAATTGCATAGACAGTGGTCAAAATGACATGGATGCAAACAGTTGTGACCGGTAGTCAATATAATTGTCTACCGGAAGGTTCACGACAAGCAGTTTGTGATAACCACATGAGCTGTATCAATTTCAATACAAGATAAGTCCGGAATACATGGAGGTCTACTTAAATAATTTCCATACTTTCATCCCTGAGTAGAGCCTGGTGATCTCTTCATTTCCTAGTGAATAAGTTTCATGAGGATATGAAATTATCGAGAATGAAAAATTACTTGTAAAGTGTTCAACTATACCTTAAAAGAGATGTTCCAATAAATGAGATTAAGGTAGAAATGAAAACAAAGTATGAGCAGAACTGTTAAGCACTTCACAAGAATACGGAATAACTATTGGTGAACGGTACATGTGCGAGTTCTCCTAAAACTGCTAATACGTAAACTTGGAAAGTCGTGATTCAAACTGAGTAAGCGATTGACTGCTTCGATTGCACGTAATCAATAATTCAGGACGAGCAAGAAAGCACCATGCGCTATAGAAGAACGACCGATCGAGTGGAAGATGGAAGGAAACATGAATGGGGGGGAGAGGGAGGGGGGAGGCGGCATAGATGTGTAAGAAAAGAACAGTGAAACTGGATATGTAAGAAGTCTCAAGCTTGGAACCACAGAAATACCTGGAAGAAGGAATCATCTAGAATAACTGTCCTGAATAGGAAACAGGAAGGAGAAGGGAGGGAGTAGGAAGAAGAGGGCTCATCAGTTGTCATCTGTCTATCAAAGTGGCTCATCCGGGATGGTTATCTGAGGTTATCTGAGGGATAGTGCTCCTTCACTGCATTGTAATATTTGTCACCAAACAAGTACAAATATATGCATACACTTCCAAATATGCTCCTTCCTATGGTCAGCTTCAGAGATCAAGCTATGAAGATACCATGATAAGTGAAACGATAATAAGCGAGATAGCTGGTTGAGGTAAGAAAGAAATTCAGGGAATCAATCGTTCAAGACACATATAAGCATTTATTTGATGATTAAACTGATGTTCTCGTTATCACTGTCATTGTTCGGGAATTAACGAAACAAATATAATTATCCTACTTTGACCGCTCACTTCTCCCTATTCTCTATAGTTATCTTGAGGGCGTGCATCATCCCAAATCGATTAACTTCCAAGAAAAATACAAACATGGCCTCAGTTATAATCGATCTTAAACTGACATGAACACCAAACAATACGTTCTGTGAATCATAACTCGCCTACTCTGCTGGAATTATATCGTGCGAGCCTTTTCTCGAATCGATAGTTTTGACAGAAGTGGAAGCCTCAGGTCAATCTGTTCACGCGTATCACACACATATTCACTAAATGAATGATACTCCAGGGAGGATAAAAATACTAATTTATGAGTGGTTCCCGAGGAGAAAAAAATTCAGAAAGCCGGTAGAGAAAGAAGTGGCAAAGATCAGGAGTTTAACCTGTTGAATTCATTATATTACGACCTACTAAGTCTCATGAATGAAAAACTGATACCGGAAACCTCTCGGGTGCCATTTTCAGAGGTTGCCGCAAGAAATTTTTTCGAGCAAATGAACTTTAGTCCCTTGATTTTTCATGTCTCCAGGGAAATTTTTGTCGAACAGTTATTCCCTTGAGGTCTTATCTCCCTATCGAAGAACAAGTTACGGCGCGTTAAAATTTACCTCACCGGATTAATATCCGGGAGCTATATGTAAGGAGACAACTGGTGATAAACAAGTGAAAACAATACAAGTGGATGATAGGATGTATCAATGATAAAATCCGTTCGTTGGTGCCTCCCGCAGTGCCAACGACCTTTCCTTTGCCTAATCATTGAACGCGACATCAATGTATGATGTAGATATAGCTGTTATCACTGCAAACCTAATGATCTGCAACAGAAGGCCTCTAGAACTCGTTCTGAATATGCATCAATTAGGTCAAAAGAAAAAAAAGTTGGTGGGAGATAACATTTGTACCGAAGGTACCGTTATATTCTATCGTAACTGTTACGGACAATATTACAACAACCGGTACGATTTCTTTATTACTGCTACAATATCACATACTAAAAAATTAACCGAAACAAGTACTTATCAGCTATTGCTTCAGATATCACAAGAGAAGAGTACCACAAGAAAGAAAGAAGTCAAAGTACGCACGCAATGACTAGCAAAAGCAAAAATGGCAGCTCTTCCACCTAAGAAGCGCATTTCTGCTGAAGCAAAATTTGCATACAAAAAGCTATCACTCTGATTGGTTGAATACTAAACCTTCGAAGATTTTGATGATGTGATATACCTGATATCAGCCAAGACAGAACCTTTTGAATATTCAGCTACCGTCCTGCATATGCACTGTTCTTTACAGTTTGTCTTTTCTGAAACTTTGTCAGATGTTCTTTTCACAGTGAGGGAAACTTCATGAACTTCATCTCTTTTAATTCTTTTTCGTTCTTTCAGCGATATACGGAAGTAAGTTCCCTACTATTCTATATTTCTTTTGTTTGGCATCAGTGTATTTATTGTTGACTTTTCAATTCGCAGTTATACAATTCTCTTAACAGGAAAGGTCTTTTTCAGCAATTTCTGTAGTGTTATGGAACAATTCGGGTGAGGGTCCGGACAGGAGTGCAGTCCAGCTCATCAGCCGGAAGAGATGAAAAATGGATGGTTCTGTAGGAAGTCCGTAGCCTTAATGGGGTCATTTTCATAACCCTTTTTGAAGTATTATGGAACATAACAATTCGGATAAAGATTGGATGCGAATGCCGTCCAGCTCATCATCCAGAAGAGATAGAGAGCGAACAGGGGAACAAACATAGCACTGGAGGGAATACTAGAGAAGAGAACAACCTTCGTTCTGCCAGCGACGGAAGCTCTCTTCAAAAATAAACTGAAGAAATGGCTATTGCAATATGAACCGAAACCCATCAAATAGAAACCCATTTTGTTGAACTGTGAGTTTGTTGATATTTTTCTTGGCTAATGTATGATAATCTTTGCGTATGTGTTCGACTTTTTTTTTCAGTCTCTAATTATACTTTCCATAACATTTTCCATCAATCTTTTTCGTCTCTTTGAAATCAATGCTATATGTATTGCTGCTATTGTTACTATGCATCAATTCTATAAGCAGCTTTTTATTTGCCATCATTCTCGCTGCTTTTCTATTCCTAAGTAATTACAAGTTATCACTATCAGTCTTTAGGCGAAATCCTTCATTATAGTGTTGATATTGTCAAAGTTAGGATTATAGCAAGTAAGGACGTCATGATCAACATTGTTCACTTAAACTTGTTTGCGTCATTGGCTATATTCATTTGTCTCTTATGTTGGAACTGATTCGATAAGCATAAAACATTAACATAAAATGATTTGTAGGGATGGTATCGGTCGTTACCAGAAGGGCGGCTTGGTTTGGCCGTATTCTGTCGAAAGATGCAGCCATCCCGGAACCATCAACTAGTAGATGGATTTCCTTCGGCTCCAAGCGAGCTATTTCATTATCAAACACTTATCGATATGCTGGTTATTATGCCATGTACGTTCGTCTTACCGTATTATTCTGATTATGGTGTCCATTTTCTCCGTATTTTCCTCTTCCACTTAAACAATTAATCAGTCAATAATGTGTCGGTCTGTTGCGACTTTACTTGTTCAAATAATGAACATGATGTCTGACAGTTTATTGTGTGTCACAGATTCCCTATTGTGCCAAATGCTACACCCGAGAATAACAGATTTGTGGCCAATGTTTGCAGTGCAGAAGACTGGCCAGCTCTTTGCACCCCTCGTAAGTTTTTCTGTTACGCCATTACTTCGAATCTGTACACTATGTCGGTTTAGTTGAACTAAATTATGCATTTGGTTATGTCTTCATTGATTTAGTCGTATTGCAGTACCGACTTTTTTCGTCTCACGCAATACTTCTCATTGTTTATGTTCAATGCTGACAGATCCATGGAAATGATCGGAACTGATTTTTGCTATTCATGCTTTAGTTGTCGTTGGAACTCAACATTAATCTTGAATATATATCTTTTTACAATAATTCCAAGTTTTAGCGAAAGAAATGTATGAAGGAACAGTTCGGATGCTCTTGGAGTATGGAGCCACAATGCATGAGCATATGAAATTATTAGAAGGAAGTAAGTAGCACGTTTTTTAATTTGTTATTATAATTAGGAATAGCTTCGAAATACTTTTCATCTCTCTATTCCTTATCCTGTTAAGGTTGCCCTAAAGAAAAGCTGTTGCAACTCAAAGACTCGATCTCAAGAATTTTGTTCTTTTCAATGTGATGGGATAACTACTTGTCTTGACATGGCGATTGGAGAAGCAGGATAGGGATTAGATCTCTTATATTTTTCTATAATTTCACTTCCATTCATAAATATGTGGCGATACTGTCGTGTTTCAGTGAAACCGGAAGATCTGACTTTTGAAAATGTTATTGGACCATTTCTCGCTGAAGAAGAACAAGTCGTGTACGCTTTTCATACGCTTTGGACTAAAATGGTTACAGACTGGCCAATTTCTAGTGAATTACATGCTGATTTCATGAAAGTAAGTTACACTGCTTATACTTTATATCTTCGAGTTAGAAGTTGGCTCTTCGATTACGATTATTGAGAGATTTAATGGGTGCTTATTATTTTGATACTTACGGATTCTATGATTTCACTGTTCTGTTTTTCTTCTGAAGCTAGTGTTTTATGGATCCACATTTCATTTATTCATACGTTCTTTTCAAAATTATCGGAAAAGACTTTTGCGTTTGGAATAAATTTTGGACCAACTAATTACAGATTCACGAGTTGGCCATCAATGAAGTTTCAGCAAAATGGAAATACGATGTTTTTTTAAAGCCGTTAAGGTTAACCTTATCTTCCTTGATACTTTGCTTCCAAGTTTTCGTAGCACTTTAACAAGGAACATTCGATCCCTTTTTCCTACATCCGGCACTAAAAATACTGTAGTAAAATAAACCATCGAACTGTTTGCGCTTCCTTTATCGAAAAAAAAATTTTCTTTGATCATTGATTTCTTTGATCTGTAGGGAGACATCGTATTATGCACGAACGAACATATATTGTTGAGTATCCCTGTGTTCCTCCGATGATGAAGTGCAATTTTTACAACTGAAAATTGATTATGGCTTTCTTAATATAAAGTGTTGTAGACACTCTGTGAAAGGAATGAAACCACGGATAGATGGAAGCGGAGGCTTGCCGATTTCTATTATCTACAAATGAAGTCAGCAGCCATGGGTGAAACTTCGAAAAAACATGAACAGTTCGCAGGACACGATAGTTTTGTTGAAAATTATATACTTAGATATAGGTATACGTGAGGCATTTCTCAATTTACAAGTTATCTGGATTTTGGTGGTGTTGCAATTTGTGCAGTGTATGAGGGCAGTTGTCGTTAGATTTCACCCAGATAATTGAACATTTTTTATAAGTTTTGGCGCTTTTGACAAATTCCATGCTTGAGTCATTGCGGACATTTACCTTTATTTAGTGTCATTTTAGAATTTCCTCTGTTTAGAATGGTATTGCGAAATTCAGAAGATATGGAGAATATTCAAGTAACAGATCGAACAGTGTTCAAAGATGCGCCTCCCGAAGTGTTGAGGATACTTGCAGTAAACAGGCAATCCAGTCGTAGTTTTTTATTGATACATTACATTTGTATGAGTGCAAAAAAATATTCGTCAGTATTTATAAATATTTAGTGAAATTACATGACAAATTTTGTAGAACAAAATATGAAGAGGGACCATGGCTTGTCGCTGCAACAGCAAGGTCTCTAAAGCCAATACTGACTTACTGTTCTGATAAGGCTCTTCGTGCAACTGTTTGGGATAAATGGATTTCTCGTGCTGCAAAGCCAAATAATTTAGCACGTGTCACAAGTAATGCAAGGACAATCGAAACGATCAGGAGACATCAGTAAGTTTTTGAGAAAAGTTGGTTTATGGATATTACAGGCAGCGTCAGTTACTCTTTGATGAAAGCTGGTACAAGCATCGTGCTAAACATCTTATATTTCGGTTGAGGATAAACATAGAAATTTGATTATTTTTTGTTCATATTAAAACTTTATTGTGTCCATAGAATACTTCAGTATATGTAATATTTGCAGAGGAAAGAAAGCTGCATTGCTTGGATTTGGCACATATGCTGAATATCGACTGGCTTACAAAATGGCAGAGTCCCCAAAAATTGTACGAAAATTTACGAAAGCGTTAGTAAATTTCATTACGGCCGTATTCGAATCATTATATAACAACATGCTGTTTCGTAAAGTTGAAGATTTATTCGGGACATGCTCAAGCAGTACACTATTTCGGGAAACGTTTTTGTAGTGATCTGTAAAAGTGTAAGGTTTTGAAATATAACATCTTCAAGTCCCTTTCATTTTCCGAAAATATGACAGTATGATTGTTTCTTAAACGATATTTTCAATACCTTCTTTTTTAGAAAATGTCTTTTTCAGCTTGGCAAGGAGAATGCGACCATTATTCGATGATCGGATGCAAGCTTGGTCCAGTTTCGCTGCAGAGGAGGAAAAACTTTATACTCTTGCTCCGTCGGATTTATATTATATTTGCCGTAAGGAGGCGGAAAGTCTACACGAGTATGTTTATTATGTTGAATAATGAATTTCGTATAATGTTAAATATGGACATATTACAGCTTCTCAATCTTTTTGTTTTTTTTGTTTTTTTTTTTTTTGCTTTCGGCTATAAAAGATCACTTGTTCAATTTACAGAATTGACTCTTTGGATTTAATGTATCATTTCCCTTTCTGGCCTACATTTGAGAACATTTTGGAAGTCCTTTCATATATATTCGGTCTATTGTTCGAAGTAAGCTTCCATTCCTTTAATGTTTAAATCAACAACGCTATACTTTTTAGTAAACAATTGCACTTTTGAATTGTTTTTTCCAGCGGTGCCACTCATCAATTACACTTTTACATGTTAATTACATAATATAAAATTTTGTTGAGGATGTGACCAGTAGCAACCTTGATCGATGTCATCCAGATATTCGGATCTTCTCCGTAACGGACTCATCAGGTAAACTGTTTTTGACCTTTAGCGCTAAAGTAGTGCATTGTAGTGTAATGTTAATTCACTCCCGGAAAACAAACTGCAATAATAACGTTGCTTATTTACCAAAAATTTTTTTATCTGACTATTGTTCTTTTTTTAGGGTTGCATTTGGGACGCCTCTATGTTGATCCTTTTGAACGAACGAATAAATGCTGCACATGGGACGCTTTACTCGGACGAAGTAAGTTGTTTATTCACTGGTCGGATTGACCATTATAAAAGCGGTTAGAATATAGCATCCTCTACGTTGACGTTTAGACCACGACCTGTTTGCGAAATATTCCTTATCGGTAACTTATTATTTTAATAGATACTATTTTCAATGTACAAATTCCAGGTTACTGTGCTGAAAATAGATGGGATAAAATAGTTTATCTCTTTGCCAATCTCAGCATATCCGGTTCTCTGGACTCATCCGCACTTCTACATTATGAAGAATTGCAGAATCTTCTTTTCCACGTTAGTCTGTCATCTTCATCTGTCATTGTTTGACAAATAAATTTATCAAATAAGCGTGGGAATAGTATTTCGTTTGAACAAAAATTATTTTATTGAACACTCTGATGCCTTTCTTAAAATGAATGTTACTGTTGTCAGTGAATGTCTTTTTTAGTATGCAGGACTGGTTTACACTTACTCGAAATATTTATTATATCCTAAATTATGAAGTACAAGTTAACATACAAATTATTTTTTGCAATATTTGTGATGTATATATGTACACATGTATAATAATGAACTGGTTTAAATGTTGTAGACGGGCCGTGCAATGCAACTTCTGCTCTCTCAATCACCATACAGAGATCTGATAGTACCATGGAAAATTTTCCACGCTCATGATATGGATGCTGTGGATCTGCTGCCTACTGTTATGCAGTTTTTCATTTTTAAACCTGTATTATTGGCTGCTTTGTCCTGCAAACATCTGGTAAGTTCTCATTTTGCATGTCGCTTATTTTTGCCTTTGTGCTTGCAGCTTGACGGAAAACAGACCGAGAAATTCAGCAGTAATGGTTCAGACCGTAATTAACCTGTTCTCGAGGAACACTCTAGACATTGTTTATGTAATGTATTAATTTCAAGAAAACTGGTGAAGCATTATCGGAAAACAAAGCAAATAATATTGCACTGGGTTTATCACGCTCCACATTTTATGAAACTTACCGTGCACTATTTTGGACAGACTTTGACCTCACGCTCTTCGACACGAAAGATACTGATCAGTCAGTTGTTTGTCCACTTTCGTTAATAGTATATTCATTTCTACAGCATCTTATCCGTTGGGAAAAGTGTTTACATTCTTCAAATGTTAATGTGCTCATTTTAAGAATTGGTGACATCTAATGTTGTCTTAGCTAGGGTGAAAGCACGTCGGAAATTGATTTCCCCCCAAGCAAGCAGCAAACCTAAGAGAAATAGAATAATGTTTCTTAGGGAGAGAGAAAAAAATACTCGCTTCTTACCTGTGATACGAGTTCTGAGAGGTCACGAAATTGTAAAATGAGTGGAATATAAATAAGTCTTAGGTTGTAATCGAGGTGTGCTCTTATGTCTGTAACATCTAAGTCTTTGCGTTGATTTCTTGTGTGATGAATGTTAAGTCCCTAAGCACTTATATCGAAGTTATACACTGGTCAGATTCTTACTTGGCCCATGGATTTTATAGAGTTACATGGCAAGAAATATATCACCAGAAATTGACGGAATATTTTGCATTCAAAAATTCAAAGGGAGATATGCAACCATGTTCTTTTGCTCCAATTTTTGGTAAAAGTATGTCGATGGCTGTGTATTATAGTCGACTTTGGGCAGAGGTATGGTTCTTTTTAAAGTTATGCTGAGAGGACAGAACTGAAGTAGCAAAAGAATTTGATTCGTGCTATGTTGTAGTAAATATGCAGTATAGTCGTGTTTTCGACGTTTTTTTATGATGCAAGTTCGAAGTATTTAATTAGTATCCCCAATGTGTTCTGATAGCGATCCAATATGACATGCGAGTGCATTGCGTCCTGTAGCAATATATCTTTATAGTATTACAATCCTATGGAAGAAAATTATGAAAATTCAGTTTGATTATTTCAAATGAACGCATTGAATATGCGTATACATATATCTATTTTGTCGGATTCATTTTAGATGCTGGCTTTTGATATCCACGACACTTTCGAGAAGGAAGATGACGTTTGCGCAACTGGCGATCGCTTGAAAAAGGCAATTTTGTTCGAGGGGGCAAGTCAACCACAAAGGGAACTTTACCGACGTTTTCAGGTATGTTAAATCTAAACTTCTGTGCTCCTTTGAATTTAAACAATCGTTCCGTTCCGGTTACTTCGTATTTTTAGCAAAAACTTTTCGAAATTAGTAATTCAGGGACGTGACCCCAGCCCTGATGCGATGTGCGACTTCTACGACCCTCCTCAGTATCATATTAGTATTGCTGTTTCCAACGAAGATACCACCCCATATTTGGATTCGGATATACAGACTGATACAGAAAAACTTGGAGCGAAGTAAAGAGAAACCAGAAAAATGACACATGTTTGTTGATTGTTGTAGAGCAGTTATGGTTATTTATATTTGTTACTTTAATTATAATTATTTAACAAAATGAATTCTAACGGTAAATCTTCAGTGATTGTTGTAAAACAGTTGTTTGAATTAATTACCTTCTAAAAACTCGTTATCCAATGCGACCAAGATAGCTTATAGTGTCTATAAAGGAGGCCATACATAAAACTGGACAGCTTTGAGCATTCTAATACAGAACTAAGTTATGCCCCAACCTATTGACGTACGCCACAAGCAGTCATGTGGGACCTGCTTATTGATGTTTAAAAATCTCGACTGTCAAGAATGTGATCTCGCATTTTGCTGTTGGCAGTTCATTCACCACTTCAGGTACCTTATTTTCATTGCATGTAACGGCTTCTACATTACTTAGTAGTGTCGTTTAGCTGTGGTTTTTTTGGTAGAATCTGGAGTGTCAGGACTGGAAGCATTATGAATGTGCAAAACGGTAATGTTTTGGTTTTATTCGACGAGATCGACTACTATTTATAGAATCAGACTAAACACATTGGCTAGTCGCTTTCCTCACTCATCAAATTATCCAGCACTTGTTGTCGCAGCTCATCATCTCCAAAACTGTGAATCTTCTTATATAGTTCCTCTTCATCTGAACTTAACTTCGAATCCCTTGCTTCCAATCTCTCCAACATGTCGCTTGCCGTCTGAAACTTCATCTTATTTCAGAATAACCATTGCAAGCGTACGGCTTTCTTGATTCGTCTCTTGAAAAATCTATGGTTAATTTTTAGAATTAAAAAATATATTGCTTTAAAATACTCTTGGAATTTTCGCAAGATTGGTTCAAAAAAAGATCTTTGAAGTGAAGCATGATTTTAACGAATTATTCATTTCTTATTTGGCTTGAAAATCAGCAGACCTGAAGAACGCTATTCGGCAGACCAATCATTTTACCAATGTTTAAGCCGAAAGAACGACCCGCAACACCTGGTATTATCTTATAAAGCAAAATGAGCTGTCCATTTTCATCAATTTGAGAGGCGGTACAGACATTTTTCAACTGCTTCGGATAAACACGGCTTAGTCTAGTCAGTTCATGATAATGCGTAGCGTATATACAGAAACATTTCACCCGCGAAACAATATCTCTGTAAACTCTTTTTGCTTGACAATTCTTTTTGCTTTGCAAAATACGAAGACATAGTAATGGAAAGACATTGCAGAAAAAAACAACCAACTCTGCAATTGCCCAAGCTAATCCGAAACCATCATATGTTGATGTACCACGTCCCAACTCATCAACAATAACCAACGAATGACATGTTGCCGACTGAAAACTATAACAATTTGAAATAGAAAACATTATTATCCCTCCAGCTCCGAAATGAAGATATTTGAAACACGAACTACTATAATGAATTATTTAGCGATAAAAACTGACTTCGAGAATTGATGCACAATCATTCATTTCTGCCATAAATGTAGAAACTCCTTTACACTGATAATCGCAGCTGCCTATCCTAAATGCGAAGAAAATGAAGTGTCTACAAACATTCTTGAACCTACTAACACATTGGAACATCCACTGTAGTCCTCTGTCAATGTTATTATGTTCTCGGTATAACTCTTAATAAAAATGTATACCATCATTAGGACTGGTTTAAGTTACTATGCGGATAAATGAGAGACTTATTTAAGTACCTAATTACATCAAGTAATATGTTACAATTCGCTGTGACGTGAAAATATACTATTTTTTCTTTCAAGTTCTATGAACTGTTCCTTGTGATACGAATCGTCTTCGTATATTTAGATTAGAGACAAAAGAAAGTTCACGGAAGTGAAACTAATAAGTCGTCTTTCTTGGGCTAACCTATTAAATTTACAAAAACAGCAGTCATAACTTCATTAACGAAAATACCAAGGAACATCCAACACAATGACTGGCGAACAGATAAACAATTGCAAAGCGAAAAATTACCTTGTATGGATGCCATCTATAAGAGAAAATCTGGCGCTCTCACATGGTACAAATGAGCCTATTTGTGCCAAAAGAACAGAAAGTGCACAACAACGTAAGTATGTACTTTTGCCTCCCATATTTGCTCCTGTCAATACTAAAAACATTGCACCATCTGAAATGGACTGCATCTATGAAACAGTGAAGTACCGCTGCAATTCAAAGCAGAAGTTGGAACTTACAAAACATAGCAAGATGATTTACATTACTCATTAAAATAATTTCAACCTCCTTGTTCCCGGCCGAGAATCACATCATTGCATATAAACTGTGAGGAATTTGGATTCGCTTCCATAACTGGATGACGACACTTTCTGAGTTCCAGAATTTGCTTATCTAAAAGCAAACACATAGAAGCATGATTATACTGAACAACTTATGAAAGGAACAAAAACATATTTTTATTTTCACCAAACGTTTTAGCTATTTAAATTCGATGTTCCAAATTTGTAAAGAGTAAGGGAAATTGAAACCATACCCTAGGTACAGCTTCTTCACCTAAATTAGATTCCCAAAACTGACCTTCGTCAAGTATTTGTGGTCTAACAAAACAAAAAGGAGATCCGCTGGCCAATATAGAAAGTGCAACCAAAGTATCAATTATAGCGACTGTTTCAGATAATTCACAGAATGTTGAAACATAACCAGCTAAAATATTTTTGAATTGACAAAATGTTCTGAATTTTATATTGCCGATCTGCTAAACAGTTATTTTTTTCAGCAATTTCTATAGGAAAAACAGCCTTCTAGTTGATGAAAATATAACTCACAACAAGTTTCAACAACCATGTCGATAAAGCTACTTTGAATTGCTTCGTAATGAGAAGAAAGTTTTAGATATTCACGATTTAGTATATCCAGATCGTCGCAAGTAAAATGTACACCGGAACCTTTACTTGTTTCAAGAATGCGCATATCCGACTGTCTAATTGACTTTTCGGCCTGAAAATATCATACCTCTCAAATATGCCACGTACAAGGAAATCGTAAACTCCCATATACTTCTAAGTAAAAAAACTTCAAAAGTAAGATCTAATAATGTTCAGCAGTTTATGCAAGTCAAATTACATGAACGTTATACAGTCAATATTACCTTTAAAGTGACTCGAAAATGGAAACCATGATGTTCAGTGTTTTCGAGTTTGACTGCTTCGGTTATTCCAGAACAAACCTATAAACAAAAATATATAATTATTTTAAATAGCCATTGTAAATAGCACAAGCAATAACATCGACCTGATATAATATTGACCTGATAAATGCACAACAAATTGATAAATTGATTAGAAAATAACCTTTTTTAACAAAGCATTGCATTTCGTTTCAATCTCATCCATTCTTTCAGCAACTGCTAGCAAATTTTCATCGATATTTGGTAAGATCCTATATAATCCGTTTTCCTTGAAATAAGCTACATCAACAGTACTTTCAATCAGTGCCATGAACTTCTCAAACTGCAACTGTGCTAGAGCAAGCGGCTCCTGCAAGATATGTTGAAATGACGAGTTCCTGACTGTAAAACATAAAGAAAGAGATCCAAGATTACTTGCGTAAATGAGCTTTTACGGCTATAAGAATTCGGCTTTTTTACACCTACCAAGCATAAATCATTGACCGATGATGCCAAGGAACCACAAGAAGCATGAAGTTCGTCTAATACTTGATGGAATCGTTTCAGCAGACGGATGATCTGGTAAAGCCGATAACATTCCTTTAAACAAAATGATATCTTTGAGCTTCCTTTAAACTTCTTACAGAAAGCACCAATAATGAGAAGCTTGTTCCTTTTTTGCTGTAACATTTTCGACTTTCTCATCCCTCCTCCTTCTCCTCCCAAATATGGGAACTCGTTTACAAAGAAAAACCAATAAAGTATTAAAAATTCGTATGAATGATGAAAATTTTAATTTAATGAATGGTAAAAATCTTGGTAAAATAACGAAAATTTATCAGAACCTGTAGGCCTGCTTTCTTTTGTAGCAGTTTTCTGGTAATTGTTGTAATATCAGGTATTCGACGTAAGATGTCGTCATGAAGTATAGCACGACACAATGAATTATTGACAAGAGCCTCAACTACATCCAATCGTTCATTAATTTTGCGTATATCATGTAAAGGTCGCCGAATCCAGTCACCTACAATTACATTTTGAGAACATTAAAAATTAAGTTTATCATAGATCGAAATAACTACGCGAAAATGTTTATATAAGAAAATACTTATACATTTTAAGAAAATCGCTTCTTTGGTCCAAATTATGCTTCTAAGACTTACGTAAAAGACGTTGTCCTTGAGGAGTGCGACATTTATTTAACAATTCATAAAGTGAACCTACATCATCCAATAAATCTTCTGAAATTTAATCAAATTATTACATTTTATTCGGATATTATTTTATCTGTCGTTGCAAACAAATTCTACGTATAATGGACGTTGCATAAATGACGACTGATAAAAGAACAAAAAATACCATCTTCTTGGCATGCAGCGAACAATTCGAGAGCTTTTACAGCAGCTGAATTCAAATACATGTAACCTGCCGATTTATAATTTCGTAATTGAAATTTTCCACTCATCACTCCATCATCGTTCAAATGCAAATGTTGGATCAACCCCACAAGACAATTTTTCTGCGCTCTTGAAAGGCGAATATCTGAAAAAGGGTACAGTAAAGCTTCCATGGAAATGCCTATTAGTGATTAAAATGCAGAATATAATAATAACACAGTAATTTAACTTTCAAAAAGTGTTCAGAAATAGACATTTATGCTATCCTAAATATTGTTGTATTGGAAATTTGCTCCAGTCTGTTCAAAATTTGACCGATGACAAAAGCTCAGAAAAGCAGCATTTACTCGTCATTCACCCAACAGCATCACAACTACTGAGAGCTTCGACAATGGTATAGGTGGAAAATTTAACAACTCATGTAACAAATTACCCTTATATTTCGGGTCGATCATTTCAGTGATATGATTAGAAAGCGTAGTAGGAAGTTGCTCACTAAACTGAAAGAGTTCCTTCCTGATACCAGCCTTTTTTAGCGCTGTATTCAGCTGATTATTTTCACCGCATAAACTGACAGATGATATTCCCATTTTATCCGAAACCAGCAAACATTCTCGAGGTACCAATGCAGCCAAACATTTCTGAAGAAATTTTTTTGAGGATTCATTTGAATTAAAACTCACGTCGACATCAGAACTCTGATCACTTCAAATAAACGTCGCTAGTTTTAATTGACATTATTTGCGCTTACCTCTAAATTCACGAAATGCTCAGTATCAAGAAATTCGGCGATTGTAAGCTGCATTTCTCGGACATTACATGACACAACAGAAACCAAACACTAAATAAAAGAATTTTTCAAATGTCGAAAGCACTTAGAAAATCAAGTTCCCACTATAAGTTGAAAAGGGAATTTCGGAAACTTTTTCTTGATGTTTCAAGAAAGAAACTGAAAGTTCACGAAGTTCAGATTAATGGATAACAGGTAACGGTACTTCGCTGGAATCGTGTCCTTCTGTCACAGTTAACGCCGCAACTGTTGTAAGCTCGTACAATTCAGCACTGTCACCAACAATTTCTTCAAAATCATTTAGACATCCCAGTGAACCCTCAAAATGAATAAATTTAGACTTTCAAGTTGCTGAAATAATATCTTGAAGGAGGAGTTTTGGAAGAGGTTCTCAAGGTTCTTATTTTCAACTGCAACAGTATATAATGCAGACGGAGGCCTAACCTTCATTACTAATCACATGTTATATACCGATATGTTTTACTTTACCTCCCAGCAATTAGTCTGAAATTTAATTAGGAATAATTCGGTTATATCATTTGATGCATTCCATCTTTCGTTTAATTCCTCATCAGTATGATGTATTTGTCCACTGACGTGCTAACGAACAGATAAGTTCACAAAATCTCCCCAGTCATTTTTTTGAGAGCTTTACCGAGCACTTAAAAAATTCAATAAGACTTTATTTTTGCAAGAAAGTTTACCTTCGCTTTAAGTTCCCATTGTCCATCATTTGCAGCATACACCTCCACACGATAATGCTGCACTAAGATAACATCATGAACTACACGTAAATACTGCGCATTATTCAAGACATGATACATTAATTCGGTTTCACCTACAAGCATCTATCAATCAAATGCATACAGAACTTATTTACAGAAAGTTCCAACAGTCAGGAAGTAATGGTATTGTGTCAAATTGCATTAACATATTTTAATGAAACCTGAAAATATGAATTTCTTTCCTCCAGAAAAGTACTCATAACTTGGAGAAGTCCATTACTCACCAATTCTGCACCGACGAAGACCCACTTCACTGCAAAAAATACTGTTTGCAATGAAAATCGCATCGTCTTCATAGCACGCGTAAAATTCCTGAAGTTAAATAGTTATCTTCCGGATGTATGGAATATTCCAAAATAAAAGAAAACTGACCCTCACCTGAAAGAAATATAGGAATACGAGGTCCAGCAAAAATATGCCTCGGAATCTGTCCAAGTTCCAAACACATAAAAATCGAAATGAGTACAAACAAAAAACCTACGTTCCGCTCAAAAATGACAACAGTTCCCGACGCTTTATTCCCAATTATCTTCATCAAACCTTTATCCAGTTTATCCATAGCCAAGGACCAACTTACGCAACCAATATTAGTGATCCAGAATGCTGAACAAACTCATCAACGATATAAATAAGGTCAGCTCAAACAGGAAGGATAATTTTACCATAATTAGACGATTTAGTTAACTTCTGGCATATAATCGTAAATTCTAGGATTAAAACATATGGATCATTTAGATTCGCAAACTGCACCTCCATTTATTGGCACCGCATGCTCAATACTCTTCAGTACTACCTTGTTCATACTTGCTCAGAAATAATGTTACGCTGGAAACCAAAAAACTGATATCTTTAAACTGACCACCTTTTTCTGCATAACGCATAGGCCTACCAAATACAAACCAATATCAGTATAAAAGAACTTGATCTAGCATATTTCATCCATGTTCAGTCAAAATTTTAAAAGAAAAGTGGGGAGGTGAACCAAAAACACGGCAAACAACGGATTGTATTATAGAACAAGTTTATATTTGTAAGTGTTCGTTTCTGAAGTAATTTTCCCACAGGAAGTATGAATAATATCTCTAGCAGTATCACAAGGTATTTTTGGAGAATCTTTCATTTTTAAATCCAAAAAAATCTAACAAATAATAGGGAACAAATTTCGGGCTTTGCATGAGAATAACTTCTATTTTCTGGAAAGACAATAACAACAGTCATATGCAAATACGAATGCATCATCTAAACAGGTTAATTCAGGAATATAACTGTCATAAAGTGAATACTTTGCCATTTCTCAAGCGAGTGTATTTCACTGGTACTTCAACGGCTATTGGATCCTGAAAATTCTACATAAGTATTAAAGTGAAATTGGTTTGCATAACATTTACAATAAACTTAAAATAAAACTGTTGTCAAGAAACGAACTGGTTATAATGACAGCTAAGAAAACCTACACCAGCTTTTTGACGAAATTTCCGAAATAGTCTCATGACAATAACCGAAAAGAACAAAACTCCACGAGCTCAATTCTCAAAAAAGTTTCTCGCCATTGAAAACTGCTGCAGTCTGGATGTCACCTACCCGTAATGGCTCGATAGCAATTCCACTTATTTTCTTTTCTTCCCTGCTTTCAGAATCTCGATTCTTTCGGCGTTTATTCGATGGTGCATCGTCACTCCTCCCACGGACAAAATCGAATTTTACCAACCTCAGTATATCGGTCGGAAGGTTCTCCTCCAAAATACCGCAAACAACATGGTCGAAATCTGACTCTAAAGAAATTTTAAAAAATTCTTTAGTTCCTTTAAGATATATGAGTTCATGAATTTTTCGTATTAAAGATATGTATGAGTTCGTAACAATATAGATGACTGATAATAAAGATATTACCAGTAAGATATTGCTACCTTTTCCAATGCCTTGTTCGAAAAAAAGATTTGGTTATACTAATATTATCGAATGATTATCAAACTACTATATTTACAAGCGCCTCATCAAACTTTTTTCTATTTTCTCCTTACATAGACATGAGGGGATTTTTTTAATTTTCCCCAAATTCTTAACATTTATTTGAAAACTAATTCCTATCCACAATAAACATCATTTCAAGAGACAAATATACATAGCCATAAATAATCACAAAAACAGATCAAAAAGCAAAGCGTGAACACAAAAAGAAATAAGTTAGAAAAAAGAAGAATTTAAACTGTGTTGAGATCTTGAAAAACATTTCCATTTGTTTCTTGCAAATTTATTAGAAACTTACTATAGCGATGAGAGTTTTTTATCAGCTTTATCTTGTGCGTTATATAATCTACCAGCAAAGATTCACTATATTTGTATGTTTCGACATTTGATATCTCTAAATGTGAGATAAATTACAGATTCTTAGGCATTTTCTATGTAAAACAATATACCATAATAACACCACTAAAAGTTATGATATGCTCTCCGAAAAAAAGAACTGTTGCAAACAATCAAAACAATTTAAGAGGTATACGAACCCTTACAGTGACAAGCATGTTTCAACGATGATTTCACAGCTTTAACATTCTCAAGTAATTTTATCGATGGGAAACAATCATCCACCAAAATATCCTTCAATGAAACGAAATCATCCTATAAAAAGCATAAATATTGTAGTAAAAAATTATGATTAATATATTTCTATTTTATATACCCGATTTTCAGTTGCTTTTGTTAAAAATACAAAAGTTTGATATTACTTACTTCTTTACTTTCATGTATAATACAAATGATGAATAATTAATAGCATCTGCACATTTATTTCTGTTTTTGGGTACACTGAAACAGTGCTCCGAAAAAAGTATGACCACTGACGCAAAAAATAATGTCTGTTGATGTCCATGTATTATTCTGTTTTAACAAATGACCACAAGTTATTACCTTCGCATATTTTTGCAAATAAGGTAGCAACAGCAGCGCAGGACTCACTGGTACCAATAAAATCAATGAGCCATTACTGATCACGTTATCACCAAGCAGAACCGACCTCAAACAGAATTTCGTACATTAAAAAAAGAAGTGCACATCGACAAACTGATTATTTTCACTTCCAATATTCCTTATTAAATGAAATGTTTTCAAAATTCTGGTCCAATTCCTTCTTGAAACTGTCATTTTCAGTTACATGAAATAGAAATTAACCAAACCATTCAATTCCGAGTGTCTTATTTTAAAATTAACTTTCTTGTACAAGTGTTAAGCCTTTTCAAACTATACCTAAGACCATCATCAAATCTCAACAGTTCTTCCACTCTCTTATTTCCAATTGCATATAATGTTGGATTACCCGTCTTTGGATGACGAAGTAAGTGTAACTGTTTCTCAGGAAGTTCACCTTAAACATGACGTTCAAGAAAATATATAAAGACGGCAACAAGTTTAAGTAGATGCATTTGACTGAGCCAAAATTTCTCACAGAACCTGATTTTACTATCACTTTACTGTGCAAATTTCCTGATGATAGCCACTGAATACGGTACAATCCGGACCACTAATAGCAACCTGACCACCGGATGGACTGAAATAAAATCTCTGATACCTTGCCCAGCAAGTTGCGTTGGGGAAGATAACGACCACAGAAGTATGCATTCCTGCCGCTAGTAAAATGTATTGCATAGGACGGTGAAGGACAGCATTGAGAATTGCTAGATACAAGCAATAAATTAACAGTACTTGGTATTTTCCAGAATTCAACAGTGTTCCAGAAGTTTGACTGTGAACAGTCTTGAAATCCATAATGCAGCGTTCCTTCTTGCAAATTTCAACTTCCGTCCTTCCCCATCGTATTCTTTTTTTTTCGTATAGAATACAAAACTTCTGGATTTTATGTTGAAAAAGTAACTGCGACGTTTAGATGTAGTAGTAAAGGAACAAACCATTTGATAAAATGAATCGTGTGAGGGACTGACCATTCCGTTGATAATAACCATCTTTAGTTCTTCCCTCTTTGCATTTCTTGTTTAATCCTGATTGCTCAACTGATGCCTTCGAGGATGAATTCGTTGAATCCATTTCAACAACTGGAACTTTTCAATCATTAATCTAGCAAAAGTATGACGCTAAGCGTGGGATAATATCACGTTTACATTGTGGTATCCAAATTGTGTCTAAATTTAGAATAAAATCAGAATAGGCCACATTTTGTTTACAACAAAATAAAAGACGCATTGGACATAGATGGATGGAATTATATATAAAAATTGAGAACAAGCGACATCATTTCTGAGTAAAGGACGTTAACTAAGCTGTTTACACTCATGTCTTGTGACATGTATGTTCCGTATCTCCCAGCACTACTCGCCATTTACAGCATTTACCATCAACTTCTAATACTCCATACAATACCCCTCGACAACCACTATACCCCCCCCCTTCCCCCTTCCCGCCCTCCTCCTTTTTCCCCTTTGTAACTCGCGCGTCTAATGCGCAGTGCGGCCGTAGCTCTGTGTTGCAGGACGCCGTGAAAAATGGAATTTTTCTGGGATGTCAACTGCAAATCAAAAGTTAAAACAGAGTAAAACGATAATGCTAGCAGAGAATAAATCTAATGTTAATTGATCTAGCTTGCATGATTTTCTGATTAGAGTTGAAGTGATTAAATCTTAGAAAATGACACTAGATGGGAATGAACACGCTGCTTGGCTTTGATAGAATTTGGGCTTACCCATTGCATATTAAATGGATTACATTAGTATATTGATAGAGTAGCTGGGAATTTTGTGTTTAGTATCAAATAGCACGTTTTGAATTGCTTTAATTAGGTGGCTGCTATTTCCGCTAATTTCGGACCTTTTTATTACCTCTCCAATTTCGTGATTCCTCCTGTAAACTTCATGTCACAATATCGATCTTTCATCAGGAATCTCAAACCTTTCACTCATCTTATACAAAGTACTATCAAAGAGCTATATATGTTAAACGTGGCAACACAAAACCAATTCCTACTTATGTAACTCTTTTTTAATTAGAAAAAGGAAAAAAATTGGCATCCTGGATCAAGTCAGAATCAACCAGAAGTCAACAGCAATACTTGGTATGGATGATTGGTAATGTGAAATATTGAACAGCGACATCTGTTGCATCTGTACATGATAAAATTTTATATCGTATTACTTCATCCTTCATCTTCCTCTAAGCGACCCATAATTTCTCATCTGTTTAAGCAGTAATAGTTTCATGATAGCAGCAAAAATAATCGAATTACAGATTTTCGATTATTTTTTGTTTCGCGAAGATTAATCACCGATACAGATTAATCAGACTAAAAACTGTAAGCATGAAACTGCGCCTTAGGGGACGCTAGTCGATATCAGTCAGTGTTGGAATATATTTCCTTAATGTATCTTTTCTACTCATCCATCAATTTTACACTCTAGAAGCCGCTTTCATACTCTCCTCTATTTTATTATTAACGCTCATTTTGTATTTCAATTTCTTCATTCTTTGTTTGTCATATATATATATATATATATATATATATATATATATATATATATATAT